GCCAAACTTAGTAGCCATGTGCTGTATTTTCAAGGTGCAAATGGAATAATGATATTATAAATGGTTTGAGAAGGTTAAACAAAGGTGCCTAGGTAGATATCTATAAGACATTCTTTATAATTCTTCAGAAGCTCAACATTTTTTAACTTGTGTGGCTTCACAACTAATATCTATTACAATAACCATCCATTGGCTCCCTTAAAGTACAATTACCCTGTTACTAGCTTAAGGTAAACAGTAGTAGTAGAGAATCATGTCGGCGAACCCCTCTTTTCAAATAATTTATCAAGCAAATGAATAAAGGACGAACATAGCAGTGATTGTGGTGTAATGGGTAGGTGCTTCGCCTTCCATGCGTCTTTCTGATGAGATTCGTCCCGCTCGGCCCGGGTTGGTCCTGACAGGCAGGGTCGGAGTCGCCCTTCTCTTAAACGGCCTAACGATGTTAAAAAGGGACGTTAAACTAACAACCAAAAACCGAACGGACGAACATACAAAGTCATCAGAGTTTGAACGAATTCTTTCAATTACAACAAAACTTGACACCCGCCTAGATGACTAGGTGCACATATTTTGACTAAATGGCCAAATAAGACATTGATTAGATAGAATATTAACGGGAGAAGCTACTATTTTCATGTCTTATGTTTAACAACTCAACAACCACCGGATGACAAGATGCACACATTTAGACTAAATGACCAAATAAGACAATGGTTAGATAATGCATTGTGTGTTAGCTTTAAACGTTCAGTTTCACAATTCAAGAGGCACCCAGATGACCAGATGAGATATTGATAAGGCATTATCCTGTTATAGAAATTACTATTTTCAGGTCTTAAGTTTTTTTAATGATTATAATCAGAAAAATGAGAATAGGGTATATTCATCTGTATCTCAGCGGCATATGACTAGTTCATACATGTATAATAAGTATTCTTTTTGATCCAAGAAGCTTAAATGCATTAAGTAACGGCAGCAATATGTACTCAAAGTTTAAGAATGTTATGGCAATGTGAGATCAATGTCAAATCATATCAAGAAAAACACAAATGAATTTAAAATCTACAAACACAAGATTAAACTTCAAACAAAACATAAAGGAGACTTGTATGCTCATAATGTTGATTGTAAAAATATTTAATAGGTACAAAGATTAACCATAACGATCAACGAAGACAAGGCAGGCGGCAGTAGTTTCAATTTCTCTGATAAGTCTGGCAACACTCTTCCATTACTTCTCAGTTCGACTCATACTCTGAATCTGCAGGATAAGCTATAGTTAAACTCTTGTAAAAAGCATGGTGTGTGCTATGGGAATGATTTGTCTGTCACACATCGCACACAGATCTTTGCTCTCTCTGGAATCATTTCCCAATGGGGCTGATTATGCTGGTTTTGGACTCAGGGAAGGAGTCATGTCAGCAGGCCTTCTGCCTCTCTGAAACAGGTTCATTTCCACTGGTCGTGCATTCATGGAACACTTGACAGACAATGGGGTCACCGTTGCGAACCGAATACTTGCGGATTTGCAGGAACTTTGCTTTTTCACGATCAGTGGTCTTGTTCATGTTGATGAACTCCTTGGTTATGCTCTTGAAATCCCAAACGTCCTCCGTCACCTTCTCTGTCACTTTATAATGTGCAGTGTTTCCTTTAGCCCCTTGAATGACTGTAGCCCGCTGTGGAGTTGTCCACACACTGACATGCCTTCTAGCCGCCTCAATCCTGCCATGAATTGAGTCACTGTCATGTTCAGAGTGACCTCTTACAAAAAAGACATGGTGGATCTCCTTACAGTCATAATTTTTAATGTTGTACAGCCCATCACAACATCGTCATAAACGGCCGATTTCTGTTCTGTCCACCAGCAGAATCTGACAGCAACCTAACTGTTTTGATGGATACTGACCTATTTAGCCATTCTAGATACTTTATCATGCACAAGGCAATGTCACTAGCGCCACGTCTTGCGATAGTTTCATTCCAGGGGTAATTGCAGTCTGTCTTGTCATGAAAACCATAAACACTCAGGTTGTACTTGTAGTTATTCAGTTGTCCCATGTAGTAGATGTCACCCTCTTTTGATTTAGGAAGTGGCAAACCTTCCAGATCAAAGGTAGCGGCAGTAACCGTCTTGACTTTTTACTCTTCTTCTTTGGGGTTATCTGCTCTCTACTGGCTTGTAGCAGCAATTTCCTCTCTGTGCTTCGTATCTTCTATCTTCATTAATTTCTTCAGTCTTGTTTTCACTGTTATCGAACGCAGAACAAGCTGCACATGTATTTTCCTTTGGTCGATGAAGACCAAGGTTCAGAGTGTAAAATACATTTTTGTAACTGGATAGGGGTGCAATGCACTCGTCTCTTTGTGATTTGAATGGCGTCCGCTCTCGTCTGCTTCGACAAATCCGACTTCAGTCTTTTCCCTAAGAGCTGAACATGTATTAACAAAACAGTTTCTGCAGTGCACTATGTATGTAAGAAGAACTTTTTACTGTATGTTGTTTCTTCACCGTTGTTGATTAACTTGTAATGTCTTGAGGTTCCCTTTGGTCTAACAGTACCTGTACGCGTATACTTTGGCTCAGCATCTCTGACATTCTTGCTATAAAATCCCAACGCATCTGGGGTTGTCCAAGCTCCCAAAAAGATTTCAAAATGTCAGTTCCTTGCTCTTCTGCGATTTTTTCCTTGCAACGTCGCTTGCAAGTATCTGGAATGCAGCCAACCCGAACAGTCTTTCTTTTTGCATAATTATGTAGCCTTTCCCTAAGTTTTACAAATCCTTTTTCTCCTTCCGTTTATCTACAGGTCTTTTGCGTCTTTCCGCCGTAACTTGTGTGCCATGATGATCTGTGAGTGCATCAGGACGTTTGTCTTCAGGGGTTTTTGTCAGAGAGGGTGCATTAGGGTTATTGTGAATGGCCGTTGTAACTTTGTTTATCATATCCTCAATTAAATCTCTAATGACAAACATATCAGAATGCATGCTACTGGCCTGAGAAAGATTATTTCCGAGACTAGCACTATCATTTTAAAGAACTGGCTGCTAGCTGCAGTTCTGTGGGCGTCTCCGTGCTCTGGCTTGGCAGTAAAGGCTTGGATTTGCTTTCACAATACACACTCAGGGGCGTGTGGCAAGGCACCGTCTTCTCTGAGATCAGACTCCATTTCACAGCCATTCCTCAGTAAGTCAAAAGACACTGGTATTGTTTGTGTCAGTGCACGTCAGATTTTCCAGCGAAACATACCTTTAGAACTGATTCAACGGCGAATGCGAGCATTTCAATACACTGTTCCAGCAAGATGCATAAT